TGTTCAAGAAACAGATTTTTTTTTTTGTTTTGTTTTGGGTTTTTTTTTTTTTTTTGCTTTGACTCAAAATGTTAGATTATGTGTGCTATCAGTGAGCTCAACTCCCCTCACAAAAACCAATGTGCAATTACTCAAAAAAAGAGTAAGCGATCTCTTGCCACTCCCGTTGCAGTCAAACTAAACATAAAACAAAAACAGTTGCACATTTTGTATTTAAAACATCCACATACCTTGGCTCATTTCATAAACATACCTTTTGTGCTAGCTTAATGTCAACACGTAATAGGAGACATCAGAGATGGGCTGATAAATGGCAGCTATGTGGTGGTGTTTTAAGCAATACGTAGACAAACACTATAACAATCCTCACAAGCATATATACCAGTGCTGACTGAGTCACTTACAGTAGTTATGAAACCCTTCTTCGTTTGTGACAATTGTACAGGACTGTATTGCCGCCAGTTGGCAAAGAAACATAATAACTAATCATGATAGACAACTTCTTCAATTCTTTACATTCTATTTGATTGTGTTATCACTGTGTTCTTAAAGAGAGCAGTGTTGTTTTTTCCTATTTAAAAAAGCACTGGAAAAAGAAAATTAGGGCATGAAGGCTGCGTTAAGAGCATCGCCAAGAAGAAAGTAAACTGGTATCTCAGGGCACAAGTTCAATTTTTTTTTCTTCTAATACATCATCGATATGTAAATATAAATAAATAAATATACCTGTTGTCATCATTGAAGTCTTTGAAACATGAGCAGTATTTCCAGAAGTTGTGCAGGGTACCAAAATAACACATATGGGACATCCAGTTCGCTATTCTGCTGTGTACCTACCACCACCACCCACCCTACACACAACATATCAGGGTTTCCTATTCCAAATGGGAACAATCGGATAAACTGAATTCGACCACTCGATATTTTGAGATTACGTGAGTTTGAATGATCCCAATAAAACTCGAGTCAACATCTGATGAACTCCTACGTGTTTTGACTTGAGAGTGGAGTGAAGTCAAGGAAGCATGAAGGGCTGATCCGGCAGCATTGTTATGGTCTTATGAACGGGCATTTATTTGTTATTTTGGAGGGGGTTGGGGGTGGGGGGCATTTATTAGTATGCATGTGTACGAAGAAAAACAACTGGACGTGTTCCTTCTTCTTTCTTTGTTGTTACCCACTTACTAGTTCAGTCAGAACCTTCCCTCCAGGCACACCATGACTCATTGACTGCTATACATTCTGCCCCTCGCCGTCCTGCTGCGAGGACACACTTTATTACTCGTGTTTGTTTGTGTGTTCTTCTGCGATTGGCTGATTGAGTTTTGTGACCATGTGTGTGTATTTGCCAGCGGTATTGCCTTGGTGTTGCCTCTCCCACCCATCCGTGCTCAGTGCAGGCAGTCTGCTGGTTGTTCCCTGCTGTTAGGTGCTCCATAGCAGCGGGGAAGCGATGGGTGGAATCCCCTCCTGGGTCTTCACTGGTGCTGCAGGCAGATGTACACCTCTCTCTCTCTCTCTCTCTCTCATTTACATGCTTACCTGGGAAGTGAAGGCAGCCAGAACGTCTCTCTCCTACCCTCTTCCTTGCAGCCTTGCCAAAGAGGAAGTGGGCATGGGTATTTAGCGATAGCAATGCCAAGCTTTGATGCCCCGCAAACACAAATGTACCCACAAACTTATTACCTTTACCAAGGCCAAAAAACACATTTGGATCAGCAAAAAAAATTGCACATACATCCTCCATAGACTGGATTGATGCAATATGTGAGGATAAGTGCTTCAGATAATGGATGGATGGATGGTTTACATCACACAATTATTGCATCTTCCATTAGGCACAAGACAGAATAGAATACTCAGAATTGAATTTCTCAGATCAGAAGAAAATGCCCTACCATCCAATATTAAACAAAGCGGGGAACATCTTGAGCCTCAATCTGTCGAAAAATGTTGACCCTTTCCCACTCCTCTCATAATTCCAAATGGTATGTTTGGCACAAATAAAATGTTGCTCATTCCTTAAAAACATCATAATTACAGTATATTAAACCATGGTTGTGGCAGAATGGTACTTTGGAGCTGTGTTTTGCCGACTAGGAACTGGGACCTTTGTAAAGGTGGAGGGAATTATCAACAGTTCCAAATTAAGGCTTCTTCTAAAAAGAAATAAAAACAAATTTTTAAAGCGGGAAAAAAATCATGAAAAGCCGACAAGAACACCTGACTGTGAAGTTCATCGGAAGCACTTTAAATGTTATCAGGTGCACGCTGATTCCCATTGAACATGAGTTTGAACATGATTGGCTAATCCTGAAAACAGCCGCATTCCAAGTATAAGAGGGTGTGCATACTTGTGAAACCGCGTGATCACAGCCTCTCAAATATTCGACACAAATTCAACAGAGTTGTACAAGTTATTGCTCATAATGGCGGAAAAAGGTTTGAAATTATTTATCTTGGTCCTTTTTTATTTTTTATTTTTTGGTATCACGAAAAGCTAGCGTTTGAACCGCGATGTGTCGACATTTTATGGCCACTGCATATGGACACTTAGTGTACAGAGGTAGCGTTCATCCTAGTTGGCCCAGTTTGGCCGCTTGAATGGCTTTGTGAGTGCTAAGTGTCTCGGTACCATTAAGCACCTGTCAGCCCCTCTAGACTGCCCTACACGAGTGCTCTTCACCAGAACACTTCATTTCCAGCTAACCTTCTGGTAACAGCGCTTGTCAAACCTCACATTTCTTGTTGAAGATGATGGGAAGAGGGTGAGAAAGTGGGAGGCAAGGGCGAAAGGGATGGCGAAAGCTCGACTGAAGTGTAGCAAGCAATTGATGCACCGCTAGTCATCCATATGTGCTCATGGAACCAGCACTTTGAGCTATTTCTCTAGTGGTGTGCGGGTTAAAGAGGTGGCACGGAAGAAACATAACAAGCAAGAAGCCGACTTTTCAGAATCCAGATTCCTGATTGTGGAAAAGTTGCGATCTGGTGGACCAATTCGGGAAAGGGGTGGTCCGTCAGAGCCGATTGTCCATCACATCATCGTTTTTTTGGGTTATTTTTGGTGGCCTAAAAACACTCATTACAATACAAACTCTTGTTTACTAGCATGGTGAAGAAAAGCAAAACCAACAGACTTTGGTACTGTACGAGGGGGATTTTTGAATGTACTTGACACTATTTTCTGTCCATTGAATCCCGGAGCCCGTTCATTCTGGGTTCGTTGAATCGAGGCTGCATTGTACTTTTATTGGACATGCCAGATAGTCGGCGAATGGCATGATGGTGGAAAAACGTTTTGTGTTTGCGGTAGATCAGTGCTTCCGATATTTGTCCGCTTCGCTAACGTCAAGGATTTGACTCTCTATTCACTGTCAAGTAATCTATTTCACGGCCAATCGAAACCAAACAAGCATATTTTATCCCGACTCACTCACTGAGCGTCATCTCGGCACCAAACCACTCCACCTGAACATATGTGATTGAAAAGCACCACTTATGAAACCACTGAAGGCATGCAAACACATTTTTTTGTTAGTTATATTTAAAGTGCCAAAGTTAACACCTGATGTCAGCTGCGAGGAGGAGGAACACAAGGAGATAGAAGAGCGGACGGTTACTTATAAATAGCAGTCGTCTCTCCAGGATGTCTGCCTTTTAATTAACAATAGAGAGCCTCGGATAATCCACAGTTAATCCAGAAGAAAAGAGGGAGGAGAGCCGAGAAGAGGAAAAACCATCAGCTTTTTGATGTTAGCGCTACAAGTCCCTCCTGGCCCCTTCAATGCACACTGCTCCATACCCATAGCCCAAACGTATTTATTCTGTGAAACTATATTTTGCGATTCACTTTGTCTCCGACTAACCGCTGTCTGTTCCCATTAACATGAATATCTGCGTGCTGCCCCTTCCCGCACCCCGACGGGAATACGTTGCGCTCGTGCTGGTGGATCGGCGCTTGCTTGTGGAAAACAAGCCAAATGAAGATCCCCGATGGCTGCGGGCGTCTGCTTAAAGTCCGACGCCGGTTGAAAGGCTTGATCTGTGGGGGGGGGATGTCAGGCCCGCTTCACACTCAAATGCAATCTGCTGCTGAGGACACTTTACAGCTGCTCTAAAGAGAGCCAAATATGCCCGCAAATACACTTAGTGTCACGCTTTAATTGCTGGGGTGCTTGCTTGAGTCTCACTGTCATCGTACTTGCTTCCTTGTGATTCACTAGTCATCCATCCCCATGTACTGTATCTCTACCACGTCTTACCGAATATCTTTGACATCGATAAAAACAAAGTGAGAATGACATTTACCGCAGTCAGCCAAAGTAAATAAAGCTTTGCAAAGATGTACTGAGAAAGCAATGCCAGTACGTTACAACTTCACTGTTTAGCAGTAAACCCTACAGACGCATCTCCACACACTTCTTTTTAATACGATCGTCAACATAATGAAATCGAACTGAGCATCCAGGACAGAGAGCTGTGGACCATATAGACAACAATTCCTGTTCTATAGTTGCCATCAAATATTTCCTTTTTACCCTCACTGGTAATTTTCTCTGCGACCAGAAAATACACAAAAATTGTCGAGGAAAAAGCAAAACACAGATGTCGGAAGGTTCAGGCTCTGGGTTGCTGTACTGCACCGGCTGTATTTTCTCGTGCAAAAATTCATATTTGATGTTGTGAAGGATTTTTTTCTGGAAAGTTACAGTATTCTACGATAACATTACAGGATCAATGAATAGGAATAAAGAATGGAGATCTGAAGCAATTATCAGACACTTGGGGTAGAAATTGTATTGACTCAATGTTGTGTGATATTCTCGCTTTATATAAAGTATGATCAAGATTTTTTTTTTCTCACTGAGATAATTCCCCTACTTTTACTGAAGTCTAGTTGCCACGAGTAATCCATATCAGTTTGGTCTTTGGTCATGATGACTATAAATGGAGACGTCAATGGAGGTCTAACAGCTTGTTTTTCCTCCTTCGCTCAGGTCAGAGTCTGGGCTACGGCTTTGTCAACTACATCGATCCAAAGGACGCAGAGAAAGCCATCAACACGTTAAATGGACTCCGACTTCAGACCAAAACGATCAAGGTAACAGCCAAAGCCAATGTTCCTCTTGCTATCTCACTCTATTTCACATTGTAATCGCTTACTGTATAGTATCAATAGAGTACCAGATGTCGATATTGCTCTCGGATGCGGTTTTGCACGTCATGGCCATGAAACTGGTAGCAGGGAGAGAGAGGAGAAGCGGAATTAAAACAGGCAAAACTCCACTAGTGTCGGCAAGGAGGCAGGGTGACAGACTAATAGTATGAAAAGCATTGGGAAACCATAAACTGTAAATCTTATCTCGATACTGAGGCCAGGGTGAGCGTCTGTTTTCTTCAGTCCAAGAAATAGATATATCCTCAATGTGCAAAATGTCTCCTTTCTACAAGCGTCCCTTCTTCAGTCTCACAGATATTGCGATGCATAAAAAAATAAAAATAATCCATATAATCACAAGCACGATACTATATTGTCATTGGCAAAATATCCCGTTATTATATTGCGACCTTCAAGTCCCACTGCGTTTCTTTATTGTGTATTTTTAAGATAAACAATGTGTGTTAAATAATTGATATTTACGAATGCTAAAAAAAAAAAAGTGCAGTGCTTTTCCCGAAGCCAATTTGGGTTGCTGTTGGTAACTGAATGTGAGGCAGAGATGTGATTAACATGCATGAGCCTCCGAAATAATTGACAAAAACAACAAAGTAAAAAAAAAAAAAAGATGACATGGGTTGTACTTTCCAGATGTCAATATTTCATCTTGAAATTACCGAGACATTTCTGGGAAATAATAAAATGTCATCATTGCGTTTTCCAAATATGTGAAGCCTCTCTCTTGTGTCGTGATTTCGTGCAACGTGCGAGTTTGATGACAGGTGCCAACGCACGAACCCAGACGCATCTCAACACTGACGGCCCTGCGAATGCTTCTTGTAGTTTTGCTTTTGGGTTTTTTTTTTTTTTTTTTTTGTATTTTAATTTCCTCTGATGCATTTCCCTCTGCGGCTCGGTGCCCGAGCTGGTTGCTTTTCAAGACGACCAGTAAATCTGTGGCTCTGGGGTAATCCCTGCATCCACATCCCTGTCAAACGGTTCTAATCTGATCCAATCTAATCAAATTCATCACATCTAATCTGATGTAATCTAATGTAATAGGATAGGATTAGCCCACAGTTGTGAAAACCCTCCGAGAATCCCCCGCTCTCTTCCTGCAGATGCGCTCTGTCTCGCCCGGGTTCAGCACCGCAGTCCGCCTCTGGCTGAACCTCTGCCAAAGAGACACAATTATATGTGATGCGTACGTGTGTGTGTGTGTGTGTGTGTGTGTGTGTGTGTGTGGGTGTGAGTGTGTGTGTGTGTGTAATCCTGTGTTGAGCCATCGAATGTGCGTGTGCTCGTCTGTTTGTTGGGGATCCGTGACGACGTGTTTGTTTGTCACCCATATGTGCGACACACAGCGGTCCGTGTGTGCATATATTTGCATATAAGATCCACGAGAACCGCTCTACCTTCATTAGAGCTTTTAGCGCCACCTGACAAAATAGCAGCGATTCTTTTGCTCTTCACTGTTGAAAGAAAGACTCGCGTGCGCTTTCCACTCGTAGCTTTTATTTGCTGATGGCCACCTCTCGTCGTCTTTTCCTTTTTTGCCTAATGTATTCAACTGTCCAGATGGCAAGTATCTTTTTGTGGTTGTCTTTTAGAACAAACGCCGCGTTAAGTCTTCAACGCCGGTTCGTCGACTGGCCAGCCACAACATATTCTGCCGTTAGAAAAGTAGTTGCGGTCTGCTTTGACTGACACTTTCGCAGAGGAGGAAACAAATTGAAATTGCAGTTGTAGAGTACAAGTGGTAGAAAACTGGACCTGGTCGTTATCAGAGCTGGTCCTAGTATTTTGAACTCCCTGTAATTAAGTTCGCAAAAATACAAGCACAGCTGTCGTTACCACAATGCTGGAAATGAATACTTTTCTGTGAGTGTCAATCAAAACTGAACTTGAATGAAGTCATAAAGGCAGGGTATATGATTCAGCTCTGTTGGATCGATTGGATAACATGACATTGTGCATGAGTCATAATGTTGGTGCTGGTCGCTGTGTAAAACGACATCATAGCAATTCCCGTTTTCTACTGTACGTGCCAAAAAATATCCAAACATCACATTAGATCAAGTTATCCCAAATAGAAAATGTAGTTTTTAACCAGCATCAGAGAAATCATATTAATGTTTTTTTGTTTCCTCTTGTCATTTTGTGTCCCTTTTGTCAAAGTATTTTTTTATAAACCAGATCATAGACTAACATTTGAAATGTTCATCATTTTAAAACTTGTACAAGAAGTCATCAAACTGCATGACTCAGCTGCTTCATATACTTGTTATCAAACATCGCGGCCCCTACGGCTCTCCTATTTTATTTATTTTTTCTCATGACCTCTGCGAAATATTTGTAACTTGGAAGCACATACCTCGGGTCAAACATTTCCAACATGGATATCAATCACTGCTTTTGTCATTTATAAAGGGGCATCCTGTCTTTGGTAATGTTAACTCAATTCAATCCCAGCCCTTTTCACTGGAGCAACCCCCTCAATCCCAGCGTTTTACTGGATTTTGACTGATCTTGCAAGGCCCACAGACTATTTGGTTTTAATGCTATATAAGCATGGAGCCTACCAAAATAAAGTTTGGACTCTCTTCTTTCAGCAGAAAAAAATAATAATAATCTTTTTCCATTCTTCAGCAATCGGCATTACAAAATGGCTAAGTTTCATCAAAATGGCGATTCCTGGGCAAAAAACGGAGAAAAACGGCTTTTTGTAAAAGCATGCATTTCAAGCACGTGATGCACCACTGCCACCTACTGGTCGCTTTTTTACATGATTTACAACGCAAACGTCTTATTCTCATTCACAGACTGCATCAGACCCTCCTTCTCTCTATGATGCAAAAAAAGACTTTGACGTACAAGTACGTCCTTGGTGGGCGGGGCCTAATTTTAAAAAGACGTACAAGTACGTCTTGTGGAATGAAAGACTTAAGTGCAGATGACTCCACGATTGCTTCAGCCAATTTCTTTTCAAGTAATAAGCAAAAAGCTTATAACTTATTCCGATCTTATCGTAGTAGTCATCAATGTAGCCTCTGTGAAGTTGCCCCAACTCTGTTCACAGCCATGTTCTTGGTTGAAGCAGTGCACGTCGGTGGGGACACGCTTTGAAATCCGCAAACAAAAATGCCGCTTGGTTGTCAGTCGATTAAATCAATGAATCGCAAAGCTCTAAATTCAGTTCTTCCTTTTCTTGTGACGGCAGACCGGAGCGTGACCCAAGCAATGTGGCCAATTCAAAGTCGGGTCGGAATTTCAACAATGAAGGTTGCCACGCCTGATTTTTGTCAGGGCACTTGAGACGAAAGTTCACATGTCCACAAGTGATGTGTAGCGGCATTTTTATTTTTTTTTCGTGGCTTCCTCCTTCTTGACACCTCCGATGTTGTCAGTCTGCGAAACTGCTCCCCGACTGAGGTGTGAGGGGAAGTAGCATGCCAAAGGTGACGGAAGCTCCCCGTGACACACGTGCACATCGTCTCAGACACATTGAAACGCCCTGCGCCTGTGCACGCGTAAATCTTAACACTTTGAGCGTTTTTTTTTTCCCCAACTTTTCACGCACACATCTGCGCCACGGTTTTACACAAAGGCGCACACAGCTTGAGGAGGTGTTGATGGATTAGACATCTGCACTTGGCTGACAAGGAGAGAAAATGAGGGAGCACGGAAAAGAGGGGGAAAGCGCTGCAGAATGTGAGGAAGAGGGAGAAGTTTAATGAGGCAGCAAGAGAGACAGGAAAGAGAGATGGGTGGGGAAAAAGGTCCAGAGAGAGAGAATACTTTTGCCGTTTAGATAAAGAACTAAACGGCGAGGCCGCTGGCGAAGACGTGCAAAAGCAGACACGGCAAAAGTGAAGGATGCGGGGAAAGCCAGCTGTTCGTCACGAGTTGACTTGCTCAAGGATATGACTACATATCCCCCATATTTGCCTATCTTAAACCTGACTCGATGGCTTACGTCCCCCACCTGTCAGCGCTAATGAAAGCACTGCGAGGCAAAGCCGCTCCAGTCGGCTGCAGCAGCGGCAGTAGTAGCAGTATTTGGTAATGGGATTTACTTGAAACTTTGGCGAAGCGAAAATCAGGTCGACATGAAGATATTTAGGACCTGGTTGTGACAGACGCAAAGTTTACGGGCACAAAGCTCCGACGGCTGCCATTCGGAAATGTCTGAGGTGACTTCAGAATGGAAATGGCTGCCAAGCGGGAATGAAAGCTCTGCGTGTCCGGACATATGCTTACGGCTACGCGCCATGATCAATGTGTGACAATGATGAACTGACGGAACTGCTGTGGGTAATTGGTGGAAAGGAGGAAAACGTTTTATTCCTGCAACGGGTTGATTTTGTCTTTTGTCACCTTAGGGTACAAGGATGTCAAACTCATTTTTGTGGCGGGCCACATTTTAGTTACCGTATCCCTTGGAGGGCCGTTATGACTGAAACCAAATAAAAAAAGTCACAACTAACAGTTTATTCAAGTGTTGTTTAAGTTTCTGTAATGAGGGCTTTGGTTACAATAAAATGCTTACAATGTGTCTCTTTTTTATTACCTATGAGAATTTTAAGACAAGATAAGATAAGATAACCTTTATTTGTCCCACACTGGGGAAATTTGCAAAAAATAATCAACTCGCGTGGGATGTTAGGTTTGTCGCCGGCCAGTAGCCCGCTGTTAGCCCGCCATGCTAACAGCTGATCCCTACTGTAAACAATGGGGTCGCGTGTGCGATCGGGTTCCCCGTTCACAGGATATGTAAAAAGATAAAAGAAAATAAAGGGGATGAGCAGAAATGAAGATGCCCATCCCCCCCCCCGTAGGTTTGAGGTACAAAACCACACAAAACAAAATGGGAAGAAGAAAAAATAAAATAAAAGGATGAAAAGAAACTGAAACAGGGATATGCGCTGCTGGAGAGGCAGCTGCTCAGGGGGCGCCATCTAAAAAAAAAAATTAAATTTTGGTCGAGATTTTAGCAAGCATCGTGGAAGTTTTGATTTGCTTTTGCGGGCCACATAAAATGATGTGGCGGGCCAGATCTGGCCCCAGGGCCTGGAGTTTGACACCTGTGCCTTAGGGGTACAATATTTTACTCCAGTTGTAGAATCTATAAGCTGCTGCACTTGTGTATTGGATGTTATTTCTAACGGACAGTAACGCACGGATTCACAACCACAAATGAGGTATCAAACCACTCCAAAAAATATTCGTGTGACGGATCAAAATCTGTTGGCACAAAATGGAAAGCAAGTCGGATTCCAAATACTTTCCCCTTTTTCAAGAGCCGCAAAGGTCGAGGCGAAACAATTGGGATGCTTAACAAACCGACGTCAGCTAAACTACAATTTAGTGGCATAATGTTCATGAATAATTGAATGGATATTCCTCATCATACATACGTAATTTAGAAATTGAGGCAAACTTGCGGTATGTGCTGAGACCTTCAGGCACTGCATTGCTGCGCCGACGTCAGCTAAACTACAATTTAGTGGCATAATGTTCATGAATAATTGAATGGATATTCCTCATCATACATACGGAATTGAGAAATTGAGGCAAACTTGCGGTATGTACTGAGACCTTAAGGCACTGCATTGCTGCAAAACAACGGCCTCAAATTTTTACCTAATGTGTGCTCAACTCTCATGAGAGCACGCTCGGTTGTTGGCGAAGAATAAATCGGGAGTTTTCAAAAACGTTGGGTTTGGGGCCCGTTTTTAACTCTCCGAATTGCCATTGTTCTATGATCAAGCATCCAAAAGTTTTTGGGTTTTTTTTTTTTTTTTTGGTTAAAAATTGTCTCGTGTAATCCGACCTTAAGTGTCAGATGGGAGAGGCAGTGGAGAGGCGGTTATATGTGAATCAAATGTCTATCCGTAATGATGCAGTTTTTGATGGGCAGGAAACAGGATTGTTAGCGGGGTCCTCTGTTTTCCAGACCCAGCGACATTGCTTCATACAGCTTAACTGTGAAAGCGTGTCTTCAGAAAAATTTTGAAGGAACTCCTTTTAAAACGCTTAAAGGATTCTGGTATCTTAGCAATGGGTTTATGATTAAAGTCTCCGTTAAATTGCAGATTGAGAAAGACATCGAAGATCATGGTTCTTTCATATTTTCACTCCGAATAATGCCTCCAATGGATTGAGTCAATTACATTTTGGGTTCAAGTCTTAAGAGTATTAATCCTTTTCCCCAGACAACTCCAGCTCTCCTTTTAAAAGACATGACGTCCAACTACCTGGGGGGGACAAAGATCCCTTCGATTCACCCAGAAAAATGACTTCAAGTGTTATCTCATCATTGTTCCGAAGAACTGAATCAGTCGAGATAATCCCAAAGTAACGTGTGCCTCATTTCTCTCCCCCAGCGTCGTCTGAGACACTCGTCCGCTCGCTCAGACGCAACATCCTTGTAGTTATAATGCTTTTATCCATCCGCCCCCCCCTCCCCCCACCAAAAAATAAATGGAAATGCTCTTATTCATTGGTTTACCAGCGAGCTTTTTTTTTTTTTCGTTTCGCAGGTCTCGTATGCGCGACCCAGCTCGGCTTCGATCCGTGACGCCAACCTGTATGTGAGCGGCCTGCCCAAGACCATGACCCAGAAAGAGCTGGAGCAGCTCTTCTCGCAGTACGGACGCATCATCACCTCCCGCATCCTTGTCGACCAGGTCACAGGTATCCATGGGGCAGCAGCTACTTATTTTCAAGCTTCACACAAGCAAACATAAATAATGCAATAATGCAAGACAATTCTCTATCCTTTATCCAAAAACGGAACATATACATCCCAATCGGGATTGTACGTTATCACGTCAAACCCACATCGGCAATTAGTTTCCGACGGCAGATTTATGCCAGTCGCTCGGAGGCATGTTAGCCCACGAGCTAGCTAGTTAGCGGCTAACCCAGCAGTGAGTTGTAGGTATTTAATTGACAGGTGAAGGTCAAGCCGGTCACGTTTTCTGCGCACTCAGTGGACACGTCAACAGCATCAAAAAATTGGAGTCGTGCTCAATTTTTAAATGATTTTGGAGCTTGATTTCACATATTTGGCAGTTTTATTGATTTGTTCAAATTTCGCAAGCAGAGAACATTCTTCTCTGCACTGTGTCAAATTTCATGAATTTACAGTGCCTTTTATGTTCAATTACACAGACCCAGCTTTCACCCTGGCTAATTACATTTGCGAGTCAACTGAGACAACATCATTATTATTTTATTTTATAAACGTCTTGTTTGGTGGCTAGCGGTGAGATTTTTCGAAACACTGCACGTATGCCAAAACTTTACTTTATTAATCACATTTTTATTCATTACAATAACTAGGTCAAGGCTATTTTAGCACGTAGGCGTCAAATTTAATGATTGGCCAAGATGTTTTTTTAAATCTTCAAATAAAACCGTATTGTGCTGCAAAGATGAATCTGGGCAAAAGTGTGTTCACACGAGAGGCCACAAGCTGTCGAACATACATGCTCAATTACACAATTACACTCCATCCTAAACATTGAATCACATCGGGCCATTGTGTTTCAGACGCAGCCCTCCAGCATCTCTTAGATCCATTTCACGACACGTGTGCGTTTATATATTTGTGTGTGTGCATTTAGGTGTGAGGGGAGGCGGCGTGCATGTGTGTGTGTGTGTGTGTGTGTGTGTGTGTGTGTGTGTGTGTGTGTGTGTGTGTGCCTACGGGCTGCAACCTGCTTCACATCTTATGTGCAATGTGTACTGATGAAGCAGAATAAATCACCGCTGGCAGTGAAGTGCTGGACCGCCTGTAGACGGCGGGGTGAGGCGATAGGATTATAGGAGAGGGGAAAGGAAAACAAAGGCGATGTGTGGTGGGGGGGTGCCGACGAGGAGAAAATAGAAGCGCATTGGGTACATACGTGTGAAGGAGAGGAAATGAGATGAGGGAAGGAGCAAAGGGCAGCTGCAAAAAGACCATTTCTATACTCATCAGCACACACTTGAGAAAGGCGAGTGCATCTCCGACTTAACAAACGGTCATGTCGTATAACCGCGCAACCGAGAGAGTCCCCTGGGATTCCTTGCAGAGCGGCACACGCCACAACGCATAGCAAGGCCACAGAAAACACATCTGTTCACACCCACATGCATGTTCATCAACCATTTTTAGCAGCTCAGCTCAGGCCACATAGTATGAATAAAACAAACCTGAGGCTGGTCACGCCAAGGCAACGTTCTTTATGCATTCACCGCAGCCTGGGTTACTTCGGACTCAATAATTCATTGTGTTGCCATTCTTGACTAGCAAGCGGTCACTTCTGTGGAGAAATCCCCAAATAATGGACCGAAGCAGTAAAAAGAGACTTTTTCAGCAACTTATTAGCAAGGTTATTGTAGCTTACGAAACTAACGAAAAAAACATTTTACTTCCCGAAATGATATAAAAACAAGAGTGCTTTTAAAAAAAGTGAACTGAAATTCCATTTGACATTTATGAAACTAACTATAATTGTGGTGAAAATGTGCTTCGTTTTCATGCTTGCAGGGTTCATTTTAAATGTAATTGTTTTGCTATTACTGTACGGCTATACAGAAAAAAGAAGGTCCAACTGTAGTTTAGCCTTTTACAAAATACTTTTTAAAAAATCGTGCACACCACAGAAACACGATTTTAATTAGAATTTGAATTAAGAATATTTTTTTTGTGTTGCTTATTTGTTCAACATGTCTTTTATTTGACCCTATAAATGTGAACCCAGCTTTACAACAACCTGCTGACTTTGGATGAAGATGACAGTACGACTAATTCATTCTTCTGTCTAGGGCTGAAGAAAAGGTAAAAAAAAAATTGTCCCAAGTCTAAAACTAGGTCAACGTCATCTGTCAAGTAAATTGTAGATTGGTGTAGTGTGAGCACTAGCCATTAATGGTGCCGTGACTACCACTGAGACACACACACACACACACACACACACACACACACCAGGGATGTACCTGAAGGTGTCCCCAGAAGGTTAAGGATCAGCAGGAGAAATGTTAATGATTAATTAGACGGAAGGAGATGGTGGTGATTAAAAACATGGAGGATTTAAGAGGGTCCCCAAGAGTAATGCTGCAGTACCATTTCCTCACACAGACACAGACATGACACAGGCACACACAAAGCCATCAAGAGAGAAATGTTCTGCAAATTAAAACTCTCTTGTGACTGACAAAATATAAAAACCGATTAGCATAAAGGACCGACACACAAAGAAGACTCCCTTATTGTCCTTTCGATTGCCATGTATTGTCATTCCAGTTTTCCCAGGTGTTGGGATGCATACTTTGCTAAATCAAATGTAAATTGGTCACACAGGTGGAAATGTGCAAACTGGCTAAGTGTGTGTTGATAGTGTACAATTATCAAGGCATTTTGTGTTGTCACTGTTCACTTTCAAACAGAAGGAGAACCATGGTTGAAGTTCAGACAGGCAGTCCATAGGGAAGGAAGAAAGGTGGAAGACTTGCTACGGGTTTGGTGGAGGCTTAGAGATGGCTATCATCCACATAGCAGTGAAAATGGATGATGACCCTATGGAAAATATTGCACAGTGGTGGAATCCATTTAATGAAGAGAAGTAGTTCCGGGACAGAGCCCTGGGGGACACCAGTGGAAATGGGAGAAAACTTGGGGAACATTTTATTGTGAATGGAAATGTAAGATGGGATTTTTGGTCATGCACAGACAGAAGTAACACTCATGTCAATACATGGGCTACTCACTGAGCACGAGTAGGACAGATCGGACTGTTCTCTATCAACAGAAGTGTGAGCACAATACATACACATCTCAGGTAGCTGGAAGTAAACACCTCAAATTTGCCAGTTTTCCAGTGACTTTTTCCGAACCCCGTATTTCGCCGTCTCTGTCTCAATCCACAGTAGTAGTAGTGTAAGACAAATCCCCCCCCCCCCCCGCCTTTGCTCTGAGCCACGAGGGAAAGGCCTCTCAGCTGGGACCTTGTGACAGCTTTGGATCAATACGGGACTCGATGTAAAACAGAGGTCAATGCTTACTTATCAGTGATCGCAAATACATTAGATCCATCGTCTGTTCCCCCTCAAATGTCGATGCGGAACTAAAGTGCTGATCACTGTGGGATGCTGAGTCGTGCTGCTGAAGATCTCCATGGTAACAACTTGCAAACATAACACAACTCGAGATGATGGTGATTGCCTGTGTGCCTACTGACGAGTGCATTTTGCATGCTGAATGAATAATTAGCTGGTATTCAGCTCAACTTGGATGGATGGGAGCATTGTTCCTGATCAAAATAGCAATAAATTCTGATTTAGATAATGCCGCTACTGCTGGTTAAGTCTTTTTAACCGCCCAAATCAAGCAAAGCAACTGCAGCACAACGTGCAAGGACTACAAAACATCTATTCAGCCCTTTCCAGCTCGGACTGTGCAATTATTCAGATGAAAGTATCTCTTTGGCATATATTTAAATAACTACTTATTGAAACAAATGTTTCTTGGTAATTATTCAGTGAAGTAATTACAAGAAAAACTGAAAAAACCTCCTGGTGCAATGGCTTCAGCCTCGACTTGCCTTTAGTTGGTTTTCTATTATCTTAGGAAAGCATATAACTCCTGTGGTGGAACGCTCATGCAAGCAGACAGATGGTTGAAGCTTCGCTCTGACAGAGGCTAAAGCACAGGGCACCTCCACTCTTCAAAGTCTGCGCTTCTCTTCACTGGCTACTTTTTCAAATGCCATCTGTAGCTCGGCACTCTAATGTTACTTTAAAACAAGGACATTGCTTCCCCCCCTTCCCCCCGCCCACCCCCACCTCACTCGGTCTAATTAAAGAACCGCACACTGGTTTGAAAGCATACACAAGCCAAATTTGATTCAAGGTTGAGCTGGTCTTGACGTTACCTTTTATTGATCGCATGAACAAGAGATTTGATGGAAACCTAATTAGCTCTGGGTTCATCAATCCATCCATTTTCTAAACCACATAACCTCACAAGGGTCGCGGGCAAGCTGGACCCCATCCCAGCTGTCTTTGGGCAGTAGGCAGGGGACACCCTGAACTGGTGGCCAGCCAATCAATCGCAGGGCACACAAAGACGAACGACCATTCGTGCTCACAATCCCACCCAGGGACAATTTTAGAGTCTTCATTCAACCTACCACATATTTTTGGTCATGTGGGACAAAACAGGTGCACCTGGAGAAAATTCAGACAAGCATAGGCAAAGCATGCAAACTCCACACAGGAAGGTGTATTTTTATATAATCTGTCTACATGTCTTGCTCCACTGTTCAAAGATCCGTTGCTTCAAGGGATTAATTTAGCTGGCAAAATCGAATTTAAAAAACTGTAATATACACCTCTATATTGATTTATTGTATTTTTCTGGCGAATACACACATTCATATTGGCCGCTAATCATGAACATGACGTTTATTATGAGCGTGTCATCTTGACGGTCTGCTGATCATTTTAAACACAGCTATTTGTACCAGCAACCTATTGCTAGCATTTGTTGACGATCGAAGATCCATGTTTCCAGAGAAGGGACAGGAGGACGAGGAGGATAGCTTTATTGAGACTTATTTAGTTGCTGCTAAACGATACAACATAACCCTTTCAGGATCAACGCAAGAAGCATTTGCGCACACATCATCAGCATGTGACGCCTCTAT